GCGTTGAGGGTGATGATGTCAGTGATGCTGATATATTTAGAGCTGGCGATAGTGGAAGTTTCGTTTGCAGAAGCTGGACTGGTCGTGATGATATTTCGTGGAAATATGCTCTTATGCATACGTACATGCACAACTAGGTCCATGCGGAATATGAACTGTATGAAGCTCTGTAAGCAGCTAAGTCCAGTGTGCCAAGTATACTTCAGAACTACACTAGAAACAGTGTCAGTAGTCACAACAACAGATAATTGTTTGCTTTACAGCCAACGGATTTACACTTCTTGCTAAAAGAAAACAACGGTTTGTGTCTGTCTAGTATGAGCTTACTAAAACGGTTTAAAATAACTCATCAACCTAACCCGCTGGCGTGGAAAGTCAAAAACAGACACCTTAAAACTGATAACTTCTCGGTGTTAGCATTTTCCGTTCATTACTCAGTCCATTTTGTACACGAATCTCTCACATTCGCAGATTGATCTGGACACACTGCAACTTGTATTCTCGAACTTAGCATGAACAATTAACAAGCGTTTTTATGTTCGTTGACCAGAAAAGGTGCTATCTCTTTCATTTCCTTGACTGTTATCGAAAGTGTCGTCCACATTGTGGGAAACGGAGGCATTTAGATTTTAGTAAAAATAAGCAAGGCAGATAAACGAATAGGCCGAAAACAACCTAAAGGTATCCGAAGGACAGAAGAAACAATTATACCTCTGTCCATACGCCCAGATCAAATAGTGAGGACAACACTTACCAGCATTGTGCACTCCCTTACTTTTCGGCCTTGAGCACGAGCTTCGCGGGCCGCAGCCTGGGACTTCTCCTGTTCTGACCGGAGCTGTTCTCTCACGAGAGACAGCAGTTGCTCCATTTCTGTCATCTTCTGTTGCTGCGGAGGAGACTCTTTAGACATTGCTGATAAGTTATCTCGCAAGTCTTTGATCTTCAAGAGTAGCAAATCAGATGACATTTAGGGACTATTTCAATAAATTGTCTATGGAAGTGACAGTTATCTAGTAGTATTGGAAGAAGAGCTATCCACAGTCTTGATGTTAAGCCTCTCGCTCATCTAAACCGACCTTATTTATACATTTTCTTATTCAGTACGAAGTAAGGAAAATGCTTCCATGCAGGTCAGAATAACATGGGAAAAAACTGCAACTCTAGGATTTTCCTTGTAACTTTCCATAAGGAGTAAGAATTTGTCTTTGTTCAGCAAGACTTCTAAATTTTCACCTCACATATTACCTTTGGAATTTTATGGAAATGCTTCCAGTTTTGAAATAACCCTAAGGTAGAAGTTGGTGTCTATGTCTCTGAAAATTGTTTTAATACGCGGATGAAGGCTAGCTCATAAAAAGCAAAATCTAAACCACCTGGAAGATTATTTCTCGTAACCGAATACGTTTTCTATCCAAATGATTATACTTCTGTAAAACAAATGTCCGATTCTGATAAGGTTGCGTATGAGTATCATGCAAGAAAGTAACACGCACAGATATTCGTCAGCCGAAGATCTGATGAAAGCGCTTTTTAAAGAGGCAGCCTATTATGGAAAGGCGTTTTTATTAACCTTAGGAAAAATAATATCAGGCCTCCGTTGCAGGCGTTCTTTATGCTCGCAGTGTCTCTGCTGTTTGGAGTAATTTCTTAATATGCCCATCTTCGGTAAATGCTTTTAAGAGATATCTTATTTTAAAGGTTTTGAGATAAACCTCGAACAGAAGCTGAATTTATGGACGAAAGTTTGCAAACACCGAAAACGGTCAAAAATGTGCCGAAATTAAAAGGAACATCCGAAACTAATTGTCATCCAAAAGCGGAGACACGTATAAAATATTTGACTAATGAAAACTTCTTTTAAGATAAAGAAAGTTGTATGTCTATCCATTCCGCAGATGATAAGATTTAAATTAATTTTTCTAATTTACAGCTATTTTTAAGCCTGCGGAACTTCAGTATTATTAGGAATATTGTATTTTTCTTAAAAAAATTAGTATTTTTATATTTCTTTTAAGTAGCAAATTTGCCTAAGGTTGTTCATGATTACTTCTAATTTTTCGTGCGTGCACTAATGCCAGTTTGCTAGCGCTTATCAATATTCTGCAAACTTCCGAATTTTGAGCGACTTCGGAGATATACTGTAGTTGTGATTTGTAATCTGATAAGGCCTTTACAGAAAACAACTGATATTTCACGTAAGAAGTTAAAAAGGAGAAACCTGAGTGAAAAATCATAAAACACTTCTCCTTCTTTTCAATTACCTCCCAGGACTCGCGTTGTCGCTTGTACAATTGGCAATAATTTCCTTGATTACATCCAACGATACTAGTGGAATTAATATTTAAACAGGTTGTGGATGTGCAGGACTATTTTACTGCATTCCCATTAGTAAGAAAGGTGAATATTGGCAAAGCTGAACTTTTGAATCCATGCAGAAGTCCATCTTCAGAGATAAACACGGCAACAGAAGAGATGACAGCTATGAAGGTTATTTGGCGCCAAAGGTGGTTGCACAGGGCTGTATATGCTGGCGCTAGGTCGATAAATCGGGCAAATTTGTTGTTGCACGACGTCCAGGATGTAATTAACGTCCGATCGATCAGAAATGTACACCTGGAATTCAGACATTTGCCTTCATTTGCGATCTTCCGCTAAACGTGTTTTCACGTTTTAACGTTGGTCATTTGAAAGATACCTACATTTTCCTGCCGCCTGGAGGTCTTAGATGTTCGCGAACAAACTGGACCATCACGTCTCACTCTACATCGCTTTAGTGTTTCAATATTATCAGGCACACTTGTTTTCAGCTGTTAGGTTATCCGGAATCTATCACAAGGTTACCAAAGAGCAGCAGCTAAATATTTTTCCAAAGCAAAATATACTACACAATCTAAATACCTCCTCACGCATTGGAGGAAACAACCTCAATTTACAGGACAACGGCAGAAGCATAATATCTCGTGCAAGAGGAAGACCACAAACAGTCATCTATATATACCTCAGGCTACCAGAATTGTTGACATTGACTTCTGTTTATTGACATCAACTCAAATAGCAAGGAAATATTATCTGCACCCAACGACCACTGAAATGACCAAGTTCAATCTCCAAGAAGAAGGTTTTGGAACCATATCAAAGCCACGGATGGGTTAAACAAATAAGCATCTCTTTGAATTGACACCAAGTTGCATGCTTCTTGCACAATTGAAGCCGCACGTTTGCATGCATTTTATGATATTAATAATTGCATTATTTTTTTATCGTAATGCAAACATAACTGAAGCTAAAAATGCTAGTTAAGGGTCCGTTTTTTAAAAACGGACTGCGACATAGCATGTTTAAACATACGACGACTGTTTGTAATTAGTCAAACGCTTTTTCCTAAGTGAATACTTGGAGATTTCAAGGAAAACTGAGTTTTTTATCTGGATGTATATAGGCAATTTGTTCACATCCAAAGTTTTCGGAGCCCGCCTCTAGTTCGGCGAAATGGACAACGACATCGACTGAGAATATAAGTTGCGTCTTAGCATCAACTCTATCGAAGATGAAGGCAGTTTTAAAAGCTCCCAACTTCAAAGAAGCAAAAAGGTTTGAACTCCGGAACACTATGAGATTTAGAAGTACCTTAATCCAATAAATAGCTGACACAACTGTGGTATTTAGATAAACAGACCGTTTTCTCCAGAGATTTCGTGTTAGCCTCAAGGCGTTCCGTCTTCATCTCCTCTGCTCTGAGTTTTGCTTCCGCGTCTTCCAGTTTTGCCGTTAACAGTTTCTCCCTTTCACGTTTCTCATTAAGAGCCAACTGCATATCAGAGAGATCACTCTTTTGCTCCGCGAGATCCTCCGAAAGTTTTAAGTTCTGAAGAACGAGTTCGCTTCTGAAAAAAACAGTTTCATTTAAAAATCCTTAAATTAGAAATTTATGGATTTCTTTACACATAATCAAACGCATTGCTGATATATTGCTTGAAAATGAAACATATTTCAACGCAAAGTTCAAATGAAAATGCATTACACTAAATCCGTTTTTTGGGAAAAGTATGAGACTCTTTTCGCAACCTACTATTGACTTGACTACTAATAAAGATCAGTGAGAAAATTCCGCTGGAATCTATTCAATTGTGTCTCTTTTAGCATTAGACAGTACGAAAGAAAACCCAAGGTAATGCATCCTCAGTAAGCAACCAGTACATAACAAACGTTGTCTGCACCGGCGTTCATTCCAGTCTTAAAAACTTATGTCCAAATGCGAACCGTATATGAACCTTTATTCCCGACAATTCTTTAAAGCCGTCTTGTAACCCTACGCTCCTGAAGCCCTGAAAGCTGATGTCTATACATTAGAAGCATTTATCGAAATACTAATAGCTATTGCTCAATCAACCACCATATCTAGTATACCGCGTGCCATTTTTAAAACGAATACGGATGCCTACTCTGTTTTGAACAGTAGCAAGATTTTCTGACTATACTTCCGAAGGCATTCACAAGCCTACAACAAAATTAATCTGAACTGCCAATTAAGCGGAGCTTTTTCATGGTGCTGGGTTATTTAATTAGTCTGAAGCTGCGATATTGTAGAAATTCGCCGATGTAATTTGAAATTTAAATATTCTAAAATCCAGTAGGCGCAAGTTCTACAGTAATAGTCAGGAATGTTTGAGAGTATTGGTTGGATACTTAGGTTTTGTCGTTTGAGTAAAATCAGATAGTAATAAAATAAATCTCAAATACTGAATTCTTTGGAGATAATGTTAGCTAATATTTTGAGGATGATCACGTCTTGACGCAGGTTTCCTTTAGGAGAACCGATAATACACGGATTTCTTGTGAAATTATGGATTTGGACTGAGTCGGGACTATGATGCATTCTCCATGCATGTCCTTGTAGAGGAGATCAATATGACAGCGTTGCTATTATAAAAGTGGTTTCGGGTGCTACATTAATGCAATATATCATGCTATATATTTATTCGATCCAGTGCAAAATCGTGCCGTCCTCCACCGACTTCCAAAGAACTACCATATAAATGACATCATAAGGGCATATTACCTGAATAACACTCAAATTCCATAGAATCTTCAGAGAAAAACCTCGGCATTTGGATATAGATCAAGCTGCAGCCATCGCTGAAATGTGTCAAGACTGCCAACGAAGTCACGGGATTGATGTGTTTGCAAATTTCAAAAAAAGATCTCTTTGGTAAAGTGTAAGATCCCTTCTTACGAGCTTATCTAGAATATGGCATACAGGTCTGGCGGCCATGTGTCGAAAAAGTGCAGCGTCGGGCGACGAAGCCAGTAACAGGTCTAAAAATACAATCGTCCATAGATAGACTAAAATGCTTACATTTATCCCTCCTGCACTATAGGAAGCTGTGATTTTATCTTAGTTTACAAGATAAACACGGCAATGGGCAAGGATTGCACTTTGCAGACATGTTTTAATGGAACCTTTTGCCTCATTTCAGTGGACGCACAAGCTGCACGCAAAAATGTCTAAGCTTAATCTCCGGTTTGAATTCTTCACACAACGGACCATAGAACACCGTAGTAACCTTCCGCAATCAGTCGTGGATGCGACGTTCCTACAGATCTCCAAAGAACGCTCGGATAACTATGTGTATCTCCCGTTATCCATCGACAGTATGGACTCGAACAAACATCACATAAACTACAGAAAGAGTTATTTGAAAAAACAATGCTACTAGCTATTCGTAAATACCCCTTTGCAAGTGACAATGTTTATGCATGCCGGTATGTACTGGCGTGCAATCAATAGGGTTTTCAGAGGCATTGCCTATTGTCCTCACTAAATAAACTGATAAGACGGCAGCCTTAGTCAAATATTTTTGCGAATTGCGGAACTATCCAATCAAGTAGACTATAAAACTCAAACAACTCGGAGATTAGTAGACTTACTTGGTTTTCTGAAGCCGTTTGAGCTCCTCCTGCACGTTATCCCTATCCCGACGCATCTTTCGGCTCTCCTTGGTAGCCTTATCAAGAGCCTCAATTGACTCTGCACGCTGTTTCTCACTCAACTGCAGCCGCTGTTCCAGCTGGCGTGTAGAATTAAGAGCTTCCTGGCGTGCCTGTTGGGTAGAATCCAATTCCTTCTGCAAATCTACGCTCATCGTACGCAGTCGAGAGTGTTGCCGATCAATTACCTGACGGTCGTGCTCTGCCATGCTGGCTCTAGCGGTGACTTCCTTGAGCTGGTTCTCCAGCCGTAGGCGCTGAGCTTCCAGACTCAACTGCTTCTGCTTGGCTTGTTCAGCCTCCTCCTTAGCTTCCAGAGCCTGGTTCAATAAAACCTGCTTCTGCTTTAGCGCACCAATTTTGCGACGGCTTTCCTCCGTTTGAAGTTGTTTCTTCAGGTTTGTGGCACGCAGCTAGAGCAGTCAGAGGAGAAAAAAATATCAGAACTTGACCTATAAGGCAGGAGACCTTTCCGGCTCAGCTACTTAATAGGGGTTCATAGTAGGGCTGCCTGAGGGAGTTTATGGATAATAAAAAAGCTACTTGCTATTTTTCAGTAGGTCGACTTCCCACCTATCCAAGCACATCTTTGACTAGGATAACCAATATGAGTCGTTCTCATTGTTTTCTTTGTATACAGGCTTTCATTTCAGTCATTTTTGTACTTTCTGTAACCTTTTCATCTATAATTTTAGTTCAGCAAAACAGTAACAAGCAGCCTTAAGTTCTTTTCTACTGCACACTCATCACGCATTAAGCAGGGATGAACCACGTATTAATACTTTAACTAGGAATACCCTAAGAAACTCGGGCTTGGAGACTTTTGTTATTGGGTGGCCCTAGGATAAGCCACCTTCCAGATAATATTTTAGTACTTTAATAGTCAGTTAAAGAGCAATAGTCTGATGTTCAGATGCACACGATGCCTGCATGTGCCGACCTCCTACAATAGTGAGATATCCAGATTATTATGTCGGGATGTAGACTGAGCAGGTGGAATTAGTTTGCGTTGCATTTAAACTTTGGACTTGATAAAGTGTGGAAGAAGTATAGTACTTCCTATTGTCAGCAATAACCACATTTTATATTTCAATCAATAGAAATTTGAGAAGCAAGACTGCGACTAAATCAGCCTACTTAGACTTCAGAGATATCCAGCATTATGCAAAAGCTACCTACAAATATGATTTTTGAAATTTGGCCAAGTGTAAAAAGGATAGTATGGTTCAATCGTTATGAGTTCTTGTTCGCACAATATAAAATTAATTAAATCTTCCGTGCTTACTATATTCGACAGGGTGTCTGATCACTTTGTGGGTGTAACTATATCCGTGATATATCAATCACTGACCATGATTCAACGGCGAGTGGTCTTGTGTGTGAAAAAGGTAGACTGAAAAAATATTTCCATGAAAGTATCAGCGAGTACGTCTTCAATATATGAAAACCTAAGGTCATGCGATACGTTTAATCAAAAGCTGTGGAGGCCTCAAATCAGTCTTGAAAATTCACTTAAGTGATCGCCGATTTTCTCATGACTTTTGAAGAGAGGCCGGAGGAAGTACAATTTTTTGACAAAACTTGAATTCGAGCAGACTTGAGGAAGAAGTTTTGATTGAATATTATCTAATTGTTAGAAGTTTGTGTAAATTAATCATTCGATTTTTCAAGCGAGCCGGTATTGCCTATGTATGTTCACTGGAATCTAAAAGACGGCTAGCTCTCCAAGGAGTTACATTTTGTCAGAGCTACTCCAATATATGAAAATTTTAACGGTAATAAATCACAATAAGAAAGTACTAGAGGTGAGCGTATTCAGTTGTTAACGTCAGAAGGACCTGACTTTTTGTCAGTTTCAAACCCACTGTTAAAACAAACACTGCTAACATACAGAGCATAGATACAAGCAGGGCAAGCCCAATAAAAAGTTCACCAGCTGTGGAATATTCAGCAAGAGAAGGCTATGTCTATGATATCGCGAACCAATTAAAGGCACTCCCATGAGTTCCCTCTTATCAGGCCTGAATGCTACAGTGATCCTTCATCGGATAGAACATTTGGTGTTCACGAAGTCTCAATCACAGTTTCGAGCTCGTTTATCGATGACATGTTTATCGTTGTCAAAGTATCTGGCATAGAGCACCTCCAAGAATAACTGAACTTGATTCATCCGAATAGCGAACTGACGCTGGAAACTGCGAAAAACAGATAACTTCCCTTTGTCAATGTACTTGTGCGCCGGTGTGCAACTGTGTAACTTTCGGTATTCAGAACGGCAACGAACAAAAAGCAAATGCTACAATTCAACAGCAATCACCCGCTGTCCCACGAACGGAGCTGCGTCCGGACTCTGTTCTTAGAAGTTGAAACGCAGTGCAACACGCTATTTGACACAATGGCTGAGTGATAACACCTGCATTATCTCCTTTGAGCTGACTGATGCCGAAGCTATTTTATCAAATACAGAATGCGTCGAGCAAACAGACGACGGCCAGAGGACAACAAACCCAAGTATGGAAGGCCACTTCATACATAAAAGTATTTTCTGGGGCCCTTCGACGGCGTTTGCTGCAACCTAAGGACAGACTGTCCCCTGCGACAACCTTGGCAGTCGTCTACCAAATATGGTAATCAGGAATACTGGATGTAAATTGCAGACCCACTTATATGGACCTGAGGGGCCATCTCAGAGGCTAGACCTAAATTCGCAGCTTGCAATTCATACTGGCAAAACTTGCCATACCTTCGACATTCAAAGAGCGATCTTCGTAGGCCGAAACACGTCAAAGGTACGATGATTTACACGTGAGGCATAGTATTTAGATACCAACTTTATGAACAGGAACAGAGACCTGTTTACGACCTATAAAGTCCTTCATAATTACGCGCAGAAAGGCCAGAATATCATGGTCATACTAAACTGGAAAAATGCGAGCGAAAAACGGTCCCGCGACGGACACACCCAAAGAGGTGACAGTTTTAAAGGTCTCCTCACCGCGGTGACATTTTTTAGCGCAGGTGGCCTTCAGATCTCTCAAATGTCTCTTAAAAGGCCGAGACAACGAAAGGAGAAAATGTCAGCCAGTCGAAGCCCATCTAGTTCAGTCAGACCTTTAAAAGTTTGATCGATTTCCAGTAAAAAAATACTTTGAGGGTGGAGGGCCGACCAAGCTCTTCGGAGAGCTAGTGTTAGTCGAGGGCCATTCACTAAATAAAAGGAGTCCCCGAAGCAGTCTCAGGAGTGTTGAAACCCACTGGAGTAGGCATGGACCATCAACCTCACGCGACAATACGCCGCCGTGTGATGCAACCTAAAGACAGACTGCCC